GACAGCAGTGCCAGATTATGTAACACTCTGGCAGCTACAAGAATAGCTATTCTGAAACACAATTCCCAAATTTATATTCAAGAGTTTTTATTTTCATAACCTCCCAATCCACAAACGTAGAACTGCAGCGATGGGACTGCTGCAACTCCGGGAGAAATCAGTCACCACACATGCATAAAACAGACCATTCAGGAATGTATTTTAGAGGATTTTCTTTGATCTCCCATAATGTCTGGTAACAGCCTAACACTTTGCTGTGAGGTTCACCTCTGGTAAAGTCCTCACAGGGCAATGTAAAGAGATAAAATTTAGCACAGGCCATTTGCCATAGTCTTATAGGTGCATCGACCTCCGTTTTTTTAATGCAGATCAGGAGTGCAGACGTAAAACAAACCTCCTTACTGTTCCCACTGACCGCATACCACGAAGCGGCCCTCAAGTGGATGGGCTGGATTCCGTTTGGATGCAAATAAAACTGTAAAATGTATTCCAAGAGCATGACTAGTGCACTTCAACACAGAGGGGCCATGCAGCCAGGCTGGAATTAGTCCAGTGTAAAACATTCCCTGAAATGCCTATGCTGTGGCATCAATTCCTCTGCACCCAGCACTGCAATGAAGAGATGCACCCTTGGTTGGTCTCTATCACTTGCTAAGGCAGACCTGGCTTCTCTGGTTCAGGTGCCGGGTAGTCCAAATCTCCAGCTCAGCCAGAGGGCTTGCAGCTTCTCCTAATCAAGGGGGTCAGGCTCCTGATCGGGAAAGCACCTCTGATGAGGAAATCACATCTTGGACTTTCCTGAAGTTGCAACATATTAGCATCTCACAGGCTGCTGGACTCGAAAATACACATTCTGAACACACGGTTGTGACTCGGGATTACAACCTTAGTCAGCAAAGCCATTGTTAGGTAGGACATGGATGGAATACTCTGACGATCCTGGGAGTGGGTATTTTAATCCAAAAGAGCTAAGTGTAAATCATCTTGACAGACATGTGGAAGTTCATCCCTAAAAAGCTGAGGAAAAACACCTTTTAAAACACAGGATTTTAAAGCAACGTCTATTTCCGAAAGGAAACAMCACAGCAGATTATATTGCCACAACAGCATCACACAAGCACGCAGGTAATTTCTCCGAGAGGAACCCACACAATCAGGGCACTTTGTTTTATTTTCAGTAAGAAGTCATAGTTGTAGATTAGATGTTTAAGCTTCCAAACATCCAGTGAAGGTGCCACTGACATCTCATGCAAAATCATGTTCAATTCTTAATGAGAAGTAAAAATACTTGAGTACATTTGAGCCGGACTTCGAGTAAGCTTAGTACACCACAAGGAAGGTAGATCTTTGTTCCAGATGAAGCACCTCCTGCACCATGTTCAGAAAGTTCTACGTGTAGTCACAACATTGGCTAGCAAGCCAAATGCAGGCAATAACATTCCCTCAGGGACACAAAGTTTCAGGAACTCTTCTACTGTCTCAAAGTGCGTTTGCAGCATGTTTGCAAGTTTCAAAAATCATTAAAAAAAAACACCTTTTGTTTTCACGCACTGCACAGACTAAAAGAAATGTCAGTGCAGACCTCTTTCCTCTTCTGATTATCAACAGGAATGCTGAAAGACTGTTCAGAAATTCCTAGGTCCTACCTGACATGTAACATGTCGCTCTGCATGGCCAACATTAGCAGCAAAGCTTGTGCATTTTACCACATCTTTTTATAATCTAGGGCACAGCACTGGTAACAGGAATGCTCTTCCCTCAGAACTTGTTCCTCTACTCATCTTGCCTACCAGAATGCCACCACACAAAGGCTCAAAGACACTCAGAGGCCTGTTGTGTCCTCCTTACTGCGAGCCAAAGRCAGCAGAGCAACAGACAGTTCCTTTGACACCATAGGGGCTGTTAGGGTGAAGCCCCTACTTTGGGGAAGAGTCCCACAGGTCCTACGGACGCCAGGTTGATTCATCCAGAGCCCATCACGTTTGCTCAGCAGGCAGCAGCTGGTAAGAGCTGCAAGAGACAGCACAGTTAGATGAGCTTGATCAGTTCAAACATCAGTCGGAGCAGCTCAGAGCTCTCCGGATCTCCCGGGAATCTTTCCGAAAGGGTGACATCGCGGTCGCCATGCTCTCTCTCAGGTCACAGGCAGTTTTATTACCTCTTAATTAAACTATTTAATCTGTGTTTTTAAAGATGACTTCAGACTGACAAAAGGACTAGGACCAAGTAGTAACTGGCTGCACTGAAGCGGCTSTTACATTTTTTCTGTCAAGGGTTTATGGTTCCGTTTTCTTCATCTGGACACAACATTCAGCGGACGTGAAAGTGTGGGCTTTTCTCAGGCAAAAGGTTATTTCCCCATGTAAGTCAGAATTCTTAGAGCAATAATATTTTAGACAAGCATGTTGAGTGAAATACTTCAATGACTTAGGAGCAACCAAAGACTCAGTCCAATTCCCACCTTGCTCAGAACAGTACCAGGACAGAGCAGCACAGAAGCAACAACACTTCTGCTTCCCAACGCGACTGTGGGATGCAAGGGATTAACAAATCCAACCGTGCCCTTGCTTAACACCCAGAGCACTCTCAGGTTCAGCACTCACCCATAACACCTGCATTTCTGAGCCAAGTTGACCTCAAAGTCAAGGCCTAAGGACAACTACTCTAAGACCCAAGGCAGTCRCAATCTTACTCACCCTCCGGCATTCCATATTCACAACAATAATTGTTTCTTCCATGTCAGCCGCCAGCCAAGACACCACAGCAGCTCCAAACCTCTTACCCTGCCACGTAACAACATTGTGAGGCTTCTCCAAGGCCCTCCAAAGGGCAATCGCAGGGACCTCAGGTTGCTGCAATCACCCACACTGAGAACCACCCCGTCTCTCCTATTCCAGGGGGAGATCCAGGGAATTCATCACGGCACCAAAGCTGCAGGACCGCCCACCCACACCTTGTGGGTTGCAGTCAGCATCAGCTTCCCACACTGCGCGTGGGGGCCAACAAGAAGGAGGATGACCAGAGTCCTCCATCAAAACCTAAGCTACTTGAACAGCTTCAGGAAGGACTGGGGTCATTCCTATAAATACATACATACACACTCTATAGACATGTACACACACATATATACACACACACAAATGTATGTATATATGTGCATATTTTTTTCTTCAAAACAAAAGGCAGTATGTTTTTCAAAAATGAGCAGCCTTGCCAAGGCGGAGTTATCAGGATACACAGGATGACAACATGATTTTTTTTTTTAAATAGACAGCTATTGAGATAAATGAGAGATTATGAAACAGTCCAAAAGCAAGGACACAGAGTTTATTTTCACAAAAGCTCAGCCCCTTTTATGGTAAAAYGCCAAGAAAAACACTGGAGTATACAGAATACAAACCATGGCACCAAAACTACAAAAACTAACCAAAGCATTCTAGTCAAAGACATTCCAGTTAAAATAACCTGCAAAGCAAGCAGTCGGTTCCACTAAGATAGAGCTTTGAAGAAAGCAGAAAACYTGAAGAAATATAGAAATGGCACATCTGCAGTTATGATAAATTGCAATGTGCTGTGATCAAATACAGCTTCCTGTTCAGATACCAAGGCAGGAAATGGAACAGTTGTGGCAGGGCCCCTGTCAGAGGGGACCTTAAACCACCTCAGCTCTCCATGGGTCAGCGCAAGCAGCACTGCTCCTTCAGTCCCTTGTTTGGAGCATCTGGCACAGGCTGGAGAAGGCAACAGCGGCAACGGAACATACAACGTGGAAGAACCTGTGAACCAGCAAAGTTTCCTCCAACATCTAGTGGTTTGTACGTGATTTGCATCMCTAGGCCACACACTTGAGCTTAACAGTAACATTTTTTTACCACCATAATCACAGGTGTATTCTTCCATGGCATCTAATGCAGTTTAAGTTTCAAGTGTTGACAGTAATGATATCATAAATGATTAACCTGTATYTACATCTAACAGAATATCCTTTCATCTGCCTGGCATTATCCACCAATTTTTACCCTGCTTATTATAAGTGATTCACGTTTTCCATAAAGACTTTTTAGTATCTTGTAAACTGAGTAAAAGGGAGAGCTAGCAGAATGSCTGCCCATTAAAATTAACCCCATGATGCTGCATTACACTTAGTGCACAAGCTGCCGATTCAGCCCTGGGCAAAAAARGGGCTGTGAATTTACTGACACAAATTCACCTGCCAGGCCTGGACACCACGAGCTGAAACAAAACCAAGATTTCATATCCCTGCAATATATAACACCAAAACTGCCTGCCAGGAATTAAAGACTAAACAAAAATTTAGTCTTTAGACTAAGACTAAAATTTATGCCCATGAAACTGAACCTTCGGACGCAGTTTTTGCTGTGTGCTAAGCAGGATGACAGCGATAACGCTCCACGGAGTTTCAACTCCGGATGCTAASGGAGGAAAGAGATGGGACGGAGTCAGGGTCCACCAGTCATTATTATTATTACACGTCCACCTCAAACCGCGTCAGGAGGCGGCCAAAGCTGGGGCCAGGCCTCTCCTCGCGGGTACTGCCCCAGGGAAGCSTGGTTTTAGTCTCCGCAACCGCAGCGGCGGCGCCGGGGCAGAGCCGGGGCGCGGGGGGCCGCTCCGGGGCAGGCAGAGCTCCTGCACAGCGCCAGCTTTCCTTGGGCATTCCGGCTAAAACAGGACAAGGCGGAGCGATGTGCACGCGGGCCGGGGAGCGGGATGCCGGGGCCGGCGGCGGCTCCGGGGCCGGCGGCCCGGGCAGCGCGGGGAGGGCTCAGCGCGGGGAGGCCGCGCGCGCGGGCGGCCGCGCTCACCTGCTGCACGCCCAGGAAGTCGTAGAAGCTCCGCGGCACCTCCTCCACCAGGTCGAAGAGCTCCAGGTCGCCGCTGTCCCAGGCGCGGGCGCGCGGCGC